TTTTTTTTGAACAGGTTTTTACAAGGGGCTGGGTCGAACCCAGCCCGGGGGTGGGGGAAGTGCACCTTGAGTGGCTGTTGCCACTTGAGCCAAAAGGCTCGGTGCGATAATATTTACTACTTAATAATTTAGGTTTTTTAATTTGTTATAATTATTAAAATATTATAAATTATGATATAATTGAATTATACAAGATTGAGTTTTATTGGATAATTTTGTAATTATATTAAATATTGATATTTTCTGTAAAAGTTACAGTAAACAAGTTTTAAAATAAAATTTATAATTTTATATATAAAATTACTATAAATTTATTGTAACTTTCTACTATTTATAGAAAAAGTAATTTGAAAAAAATTACTAAACATACAAATATATAAAAACACTATACAACAATAAAAAAAAACTCCTAACCACAATTCTAAATGCACCTTCATGCATAATCTTACTGAACTGGAAATAGTAGCTTCAATTTATTTCACCCATTTTTCAAGTTTGAAACCCTGTTTTTCTCTCGAATACAGCTGAACTCAAGCATCAAAAGACGAAGAAAAAAAAAAATTTTTACTCAAGCTAATGGGAATTTCCAGTCTGATGGGCCTTCAGTGGACCCTCCATGAAGATTCCATTTTCAGGCCCTGGCCCAGAATACTTTAAACCATCCAATATCCATCACATGATGGAAGACATGGCAACCAAAAACTAAAGTTCTCTTCTTTTTCTTCTGTTAATCAGTAAAGAAAGTAATTTAGCTATTAAAGGGATTGATATTGATCCTAGAATAAAGGTTTGGAAATTAGTGAATACTAACTTCGCTGCTAAGTTAACTTAAGCTCAATTAGTAGCAAGAGTTTTGTCCAATTTGGTTTCTTACTTTCTTATCTAGAAAAAGGAAATTCTAAATATAAACTAAAAGTGGGATTAATAGAATATGACCCCAGAAACTATTTAATCCTCAAATTTAGTTTAGTTACATTTGATGATTAAAAGAACATCAAATATGTACAGATTACTATGGACTAATGTTGAGAGCTTTGAAGAAGAAAGGCAAACAGCAATATATACCTTTGATTCTAGTGGATTAGGCATGTACAGGTATAGATGAGCTCATAGATATACAACCTTTCAATCGTTCAAGAATGGCATTTCTGCTCACAAGTCCTGAGTGAGAAGTTAGGGGAAGGCCATCCTTCACGCACTCGTCGTACTTCTCCAAGGCAGAGACTATGTCAGAGAAATCTGGCCTCTTTGAAGGGTTGGCTGCCCAGCAGCGCTTAATGAGATGTGCAAGTGCAGGCTGACAACTAGCTGGCAATGGTGGCCGTTCATTCTGCCATGAAAAAAACATTTATGCAAAGTTAAATTGAGTTGTTCCATTGTATAGGAATCGAATTAAGAGGCTTAATTGCTAACCTTTTCTGCCACAGCAAATGCTGCCTGCACAGGGGTCATTCCTTGGAAAGGAAGCAAAGCTGTTGTGAGCTCCCACAGGACAATCCCAAAGCTATAAACATCCACTTTCCTAGTGTAAGGTTTCTCCTTGATCATTTCTGGTGCCATCCAGCGGTATGTCCCCATGTTTCCTTTGGTTTCCTGGCACTGTGTTTCTAGACAAGATGTGCCAAAATCCGCCACCTTAACCCTCATCTCATCATTTAGAAGCAAATTATTCGATTTCAGGTCTCTGTGAATCACCCCTTGTGAATGAAGATATTCCATTCCCCGGGAGATATCAAGAGCTAACCTCAATATTGTCTCAGTTGACAACGAGTAAGGCTCCTTCTTGTTCAGATACATCCTCAGAGTCCCTTGTGACATGTACTCTGTGATGATACAGTACACTGGAGGCCTTTTGCAAGCAGCAATGAACTGTAAAGAACAAATTTTCAAATGTTTAGCTACAAAGACTAAGAAGGGCACCGCATATATATATGGCTTTTAAGCCTTACCTGCACTATATTGGGGTGAACAAGACGGGAAAGTAAGGCGACTTCAGACTTGAATTGCTGCTCAAGTTTGGTTCTAGTTTCCTCATCTTGGTTTGGAATCCTGACCATTTTTACAGCAACAGCCCTCTGCTTATAAATACCACGATATATCCTACTATGAGCCCCAGAAGCAAACTTGTTACCTATAAACAACTGAGAAAGATCAGCCGTCCATTCCTCTTGATCCTCCTTTGATGTCTCCCAATTCTCCACATTGTCTGACTCCAATATCATCGACCATGAATCCAAGCTATCAAATCTCCTCCTTTCCATGTTCTCCATATCAGAATTCAACTGAGTTCTTGACGAAGAAGGGGCTGGAAAAGGTTTCCCCTTGGATTTCCTAAATCGAAATCCGTGGAAACATGAGGTAGCCATGGAATGCTTAGCCTTGAATTCAAAAAGGGTTTGTGGAATCGCACAGAAAATACCTTGTCTATCAAGATAAACAAATATCAAAAGGTATTCCCCGTGTGTGAATTGATTTTAGGAACTGTATGAACAGACTAAAAACATGGGGTCCGTCCAACACAAAAAAACAAAGATGGGTTTTCTTGAAAAACCTCAAGAAAATCAAAGTAAGCATAACATAGAGAACAAACCAGATGAGAACTTTCCATGGTACAACCTTTTTTGTTGCTGGAAAAAACAGAGACAGCATCGAAACCAAGGTCATGAAGAATCAATGAAGAACAGAGAAAGCAATTCTGGGGTTTCATGGCTTTGCAAAAACAAACCCATCAACCCAAATGAAAGAAGAAATTCATGTAAAATGAAAATTTTGCTAGAAAAAGAGAGAAGGGTATGCAGATTTCCAGGGCTCTTTTGAAGGGATCAGGAGATTAGGTCGTTTAGCAGTAGAAAGAAATCAGGGGTGACCCGTGATTGCTTGGTTCAAAAGTAAGACACTTTTGAGGGAAAAATTTGAGGAAGCTTTTATCTCCTTCGAATCCT